GATTTTTTATTCCATTTGTGTTATTGCAAATGGGATAAATAGTATTCCTTTATGTATATGTACTGCATTTAAAAAATCCATTCATTGTGGATGAACACTTACATTGTTTCTACTTCTTGGCTGCTGTAAGAGAGTATAATTTAGTATCTGTATAACATTACTGTATCAATTGTCTTATTGTTGTATCAAAATGCCTGGCAAAAGCAACAGAAGGGAAAAATTATCTTTGCACACATCATGACAAGAAAGTCAATGTCACAGGAAGCCATGATAGCTGATCACACTGAGTTCAAAGTCAGGGAGGAAAGTGAGGAAAGCTCAGCCCACTTCCTCCTCCTCCAGTTCAGAACCCCAGCCTAGGGAGGGTTGCCGCCCTCAGTGGGTTTCCCCACTTCATTAAACTTAACATAATCTTTCACAAGAGTGGCTCACGGGTAATTCTAGATCCGGTCAAGTTGACAGTAGAGATTAATCATTACAACTTCCCACTGAAAAGCCTTTTATTCAGAACAGTACATATAATTGAGAGAGAATTTAGGGACTATCGGTTGACACGAAGTAATTTCCAAAGTCGTATTACGCCTTTAAAAGATTTTTTTAAAAGGAGGCTTAAGTTTATTACAGATTAATTTGTTTATTTATGCTTGAGTGTGTGCCTGTGTGAGTTTGTGTGTACCATGTCTGTGCCAGTGCCCACAGAGGCCAGAGGGCATCTTGGAGTTACAATCTGTGAACCACATGGTGTGGGTGTTAGCAACCAAGTCTAGTTACTCTGAAAGAGGAGTCAGCACTCTTAACCATCGATCCACCTCTCCAGAGCCCAAATTTTATTTATCTTTATTTATGTGAATGCAAGTGTGTCTGTATGCCATGGGATACAGGTGTCTGCAGAAGCCAGAAGCAAGCTACAGATCCCTTGGAGCTGGAATTCCAGGTAGCTGTGAGCTGCTAAATGTGGGTTCTTTGCACACAACATGGGTCTTTTGGAACAACAAGAAGCACTTTTATCCACTGAGCCATCTCTCCAGCCTCAAACTTATTTATGGGGAGTGGTATATGTACACAGATGTGGGTAAGAGTACAAATTTGGGATTTTTTTTTCCATACACCATTTGGGTACCTTGGTTCAAAATCAGATTGGTGGCTAGTTCCTTTACCAGATGAGCCATCTCAGTGGCCTCAAATATTTGGGGGCGTTGTTTTGTTTTGACTTGAGTTTTGAGACAGAATCTCACTATGTAGCCTTGCTTCCCTGAAACTTGCTATGTAGACCAGGCTGATCTAAAACAGAGATCCATCTGCCTTCAGAGAACTAGGATTAAAGGTGTGTGCCACTATGCTCAGAATGGGATATAATAATGTATTGTTTCTCTTCAGAGGTAATATAAAGAATGAACATATAAAGAATGAACTCTGTTTAAAAATGCCTACTTAAACTTTGGGTCCACTCTGTGGCTAGTTTCCTGAGAACTGTGTGCAGAACTAATCTGACCATTAGCAAAAAGGCAAAGTGCTTTCTCTGGTTCACCTTTTGCCCAGGTTATGTCTGCTTTTACTAGAGCATGTTGTGGGATATCCCTGAAGTCTTAGACTCCTGAAATAGAAGTCTGTGCAAAATAATGTTAACTGGAAAACTCAGGATTTTTATTGATAATCATTTCCATTTACTTGTTATTATCTTACACCAACTAACTTACTTGCACAAAACTGTCTTGTTTTCTATTTTCTTTTTTTTATGCATATAGAGTATTTTTTATTTAATTTTATATAACAAAGTCCAATTAAATGAAAACAAACATTTATACACAATATTTGGGAATTTGGGCGTCGTTCTTTCCAAACTACTTCCTGCTGGTAAGGGGCGCTGTCTTGGGGGATTCGAAGAAGATTCAGATATCCTAGCTGTAGTCTGTAGGGCTGTTTTGTCCAGCTGTTTGGAATGTAGGATCAGCTTGTACTCTGTTTCAGGCGGTCTGGTGTGATCAAACCACATTAGTCTGGAAGGAATCCACATCTTTTCATTTTCTGTGGAAACAAAAATAGAAATACTTTTCCCCAGTAACTTGTTCTTCAACTTAAATTTTGGAGTCAAAGCGTTTTTTTTGTTTTTTTTTTTTTTTTTATTTTACATGTCGATCCCAGTTCCCTCTCCCTCCCTCCCTCCCTCCCCCCAAGCCCTCCCTCTCTACTTCCCTCCCTTTTGCCCTCTCTACCCTCTCCCATGCACTCTAAACACCCTCCCCTCCCAACCCCCCACCACAATACAATATGTAGGGGAATGCCATCCAGTTGGGGTCATGTAGATCTGACAGGTCCCGTGAAGTAGGGACTAGGGCTTCTCTCCTATCTCTAGAATAAGGCAGTTATCCCTCCATGGGGGATATGTTTGCAAAGTCCTTTTGTGCACCAGGGATACATCCTGGCTCCACTGTCTGAGGTTTTCTATTTTCTTATACGCACTGAGCACTGTGAGTCACTGAAAATAAAATAAAAAACCACAGGATTAAATAAAAGAGATTCCATATGACCTTCAGATGGAATTCAGTTGGTAGAAGGCCTGATTTACATGTGGGAAATACCCAGTTTGGTATCCAGTATCACATAAAACTAGGAAGGGTGGCACAGGCTTGTAATTTCAGCATTTGAGCAGTTGAGGCAACATGAGCTGAGTTCAAGGTTATGTGCAGCTACAATTCCAAACCAGCCTGGCTACACAAAACTCTAAAAGACATGAATAACCACACTGTACATGATTACCAATATTGTAGAATGTTGGTGTGTGTGTATCATACAAATTCTTAAGAAAGGGGTGTCATTAAATAAGTTAGTCATCAATCTCATTATCAGGAGAGACATCTAGTAGCTGATGGAAACAGAAGCAGACACCCACAGCTAAACACTGAGCCGACCTGGAATCCAGATGCAGAGAGGGAAGAGTGATAAGTAAATGGGGACAAGACCAGGCTACAGAAACCCACAGAGACAGCTGACCTGAACAAGGGGGATTCCACCTCAAAGCGATCATGCTAGCAGCTTTTTTTTTTTTTTTTTTTTTTTTTTTTTGCTATTTTTATGCTCTATTGAGTTCTTCTTTCTAAAACCACTTACCTTGAAATATTGCAAAGTCATGAACAGAAGGTTGTAAAATCAGTTTGTGTCTGGAAAACATGGCTTTTGTGTGGCTGTATGGTATTAGATAAGATTCTTAAAAGTAGCCATCTAGAGGCCTATGAATCATCACTATGTGGCTCACACCAGAATGACCCCAAAAGAAAACAGTGATGTAATCTGTTATATAGCTATTCCTGGAAGAATGCTGTGTGTGTGTGTGTGTGTGTGTGTGTGTATGTGTGTGTGTGTGTGTTGTATAAATATGACCTTGATGTCAGAGACCTTCACTTCTACTTTCAGGAGCTTGCCTTTGTCTGTCTTGTCTGTAGGCCTATGTGCCTACCTCCAAGAAGTCAGTGCATTGGCCTATGTATATTCCTGTGTCTGCCTGTATGCGGACCATATGTATCAGCACATGCCTGGGTACCCACAGGCAGCTGCCTGCCTAATAGACTGTGTGTTGGTAAATAATGTCTTATCTGCCTTGTGGCTCCTCACAGGTTCTTCAACCTTGATGCTCTTCAACCTCGAGTTCTCCCATGAGCCTTTCTTTGCCTTTTGTGGTATCAGTGTCTGGTTCTCACACACAGTCAACATGTTGGTATTACAGAGTACAGAGCATCTCTAAAGTTAAAACAGGACATACCCAATATGGAAAGGAGTCGGGTGAATAAAGACTCCAGCTTTAGAAAGTCATCAGGAACTGCTCAAAGACTTAATTGGACCCATTCAGAGTAGAGATTTGGTTTAAGTAATTTGGGGAGGGGGCTTGCCACCAGTACTTTGAAGGGATCATAGATAATTCTAATGGGTACCCAGTAGCGAAGACTATTGAAACTTCTGTCTCTTAGGATGCTCGATTAAATTCCACTAAATATATTAGCTGCCAAGTGAAGAATTGGTTAAGTATTTCTGCAGCACTTCCCCACCCTGATTATTGAGTTGTCAGCTTTCGCAGTGGAATGGCACACCCAGCTCCCTTTTTATATCATCAGCAGCCGGTACCCAGGACTTTCCTTGATATCATTGTGCTTTTAACTTCCATGGTCTCAGCACATGAACTCCTTATCCTCTCAATCCCCAAGCACAGACAATCAATCTACACAAATGTGCAAAGGCTCTGGATAGAAGCAGAGGGGGAGCTCTCTGTGGACAGAATTCTCTACCAGACCATGCACTTGCACAAATTTTCTGAACCCTATCTACCTGAGGATCCTCCCTGTCACATGGGGATGGTGTGAGAGAGTCTTTGTGTGGGTTTTGGTGAGAATTGTGAGCTACTCAAACAACAGTTAGGGTGAACCTAAGGAACGTTAACTGCTGTAGTTAGAGACAGCACCTTGCTTCTTAAATAACCTCTTGCTACTAGAGGAACAAAGTTTTGTGTGCAAAATAATTTTGGGTAAATTGGATAGGTAAATTGGGCCCATTGCAGATATCAGCCTCATCCCTACTACCATACACAAGTTCCAGTCTTCTGAGACTTTGATTTTGAGCTGTAGTGTTGGAAATATTTTGTGATATTCATGGAGTGTTTTAAAGAAATTGGAGAGTATACAAAACCATAAATGAATTAACCTTACTTCAAGCTTTGTCCCCACCAGCTGTGTATTATAGAGAACAAACAGACAAAAACCTTACCTTTTAAATTTTGGTATAAGACTGGTCCAGCTGCAAAGATTTTTAGCAGAGTTTGTTAGCCTAAGAGACAAACTTGGTCAGAGAAGGATTGCTTCCCCAGGGACTATTCCAGCATCAAGTGAATAGTGACTATGTTAAGGTAACAGGTTCAAAGTTTGCTTGCTTTTTCTTCATGACAGGCTAAATAGAAACGAGTGATTCATACTCCACACATGCACATGCCTTAGGTGTTGCGGTTTGTTTTTCAGATGGGGGTTAATGTGGTGGACTCTGCTGTCTCCGGGTTAGGTGGCTGTCCTTATGCAAAAGGTGCTTCAGGGAATGTAGCCACTGAGGATTTGGTATACATGCTTAACGGCATGGGGCTCAATACAGTAAGTTCTTTCAACACACTTTTTAAAATCTGTGATTTCTTTTCAGGTTCAAACAGAAATACTTTCTCAAACTTGAAAAGCAGCTGAGGTCAAAGTTTTATTACATGTTTGCTACTTGTGTAATGAACTGAGGGAAAATACAGTGAATATAGCTCAGTCACAAACAATGTTCTCATTCCATGTTATAGTTTTATCAACTCCAAAATAATTTCCCATATATTATCTGATTTGACGTGGTACATTAACTGTGTGAGAGCTCACGTCTTTGAAATAATAATGCTGTGTAGTTTTGCTTTTAGTAAGAAGCTGAGATCCTCAGTCAGACAGGGATTATGTTGGCCTGGGGATTCTGACACTTTGCAAATGATCAGTGCAAGAGCAAAGTTTAATTAAACTTGAGATGTAACAAACCAGGTGGCAAGAATAGCTTCTTTCTAAGTTTTACCTGCAAAGGTAGGTCTTGTATATTAACACCTGCTGAGCTTTCTCTATACATAGTAACAAAATCTATCAGCATAGGGTAGATCCTATTTTATGGGAAACTATGAAAGGCAAGAAAACTGTTCTGTGATTATTGCACATCCAAACCATAAAAGCTTGCACTATAAATTCCCCTCTCTCCTTCCTCTTCAGTCTCACTGTGATTACACTGATCCTCTCTGACATAGCATTCAACTCTCCTACCATTCTGTTCTTCACTGCCTCCCCTTATTAATGCTTTCATGTTATTCTGAGTGGTCTTTTACATCATGCTTTATTTCATCTAGAAAGTGAGGTACCGCCAACTGGTCCATTCCTAGCATCACTCTAACTATACCTCGGGCAAAGATGTAAAGATCTTGGTGCTTTCCTGGAATTCTGTATTTTTACTTGTTCACAATCCCTAGGATTGTGTTGTGATATTGTTTATTCTTCTAGCTTCCTGGACAGTCAAAATGCAGTCATTATAATTTATTTTTACTCAGTATCTGTAACTTACAGATGTTCAATAAATATTCATTGAGATTTTTACCCGGCACCAAAGACTGACAGCTGTTGTCTATAAACAACAGAATCTCTGTAGGAAAGTATAGGTTTATTTACACAGAGGCCTAAATCATTGTTTTGGAAAGCAGTGATTGAAAATGAGAAGAAATGGATCCTTTCTTAGAATTTAAATAAATGAATGAAGTTTAATTAACAACAGTGTTAAATGTAACTTAAGGTTTCGATGCCAAATTCCAGAAAACCAAATGTCATGCTAAGGACTGGTCAGGTTGAGGAGGATTTTAACACTGAGGAGCACTGTAGTCACTGCCAGTCACAGTCCCCATTACATACGAAGAACAAGTAATTACAGAACCTTAGATTTTTTGCCGAGTCCTTGTCTCCTGTACTAATTATGGTTCCAGACTTGCATGTGAGTTCATCAGAACGACAAGACTTTATCTGTACTTAAGGACACACATACTCTGCTTCTGCTTAAGCAAGTGCCTGTGAACTTGTACTTCTTCCAAAAGAGGGCTTGCTGTATTACACACTCTGGCTTGTTGGTACCTTCCCCATTACAAATGACATCTGTGACAGGTTTGCCCATTGTTACCCAATGCCCCGTGGCTCTCCTCATCCTCCACATAAACTGTGAATATTTTATAGGTCTTTTATGTTGATCTTCTTTGCCTACCATGTCTCTTGTAGCTTCTTACTCCTCACCAGGTAAAACATGAGTTGTACCTTCACATCCTCTTCTCTGGCATATTCTTTCTTCTCTTTCCTTATGAGTTACTTGGTCTTTGTAATCACATGGGCATATCTCTCTCCATGGACTCTAGTATAGTACAGAAATTTATAAGTCTGTAATTGCCCATGCATAAGTTTCATGAAGCATAAGCTTCATTAAAACAAAATAATATATAATTTATATGTAACTTCATGATATATTATTTACTTTCTAGACATCTGATAGATGATTTAAGATTAAATACAACATTTTTCATAATCACATCAGTTAATTAATGAAATTATAAAGAAAGACCAAAACAAAATTCTTTCTTGAGATAATATTAGCATATTCTATACATAATTGTTCAAAATGGAATTCTTACGAAGTTTAAAAGAACATTAATGACTAAAATATTCCATCAAACCCTTGCTGATCTAATCCAGAAGTATAAGACACATGAAACTATTTAGATACCATTGCATTAGGAATTTAAATTAAAATGTAGTCTCAGATGCTTCATGACAAAAACAAATTTCTCAAATCAGAAAGAATGCTGCTATCCTGAAAGTTTGTTAATAATGTAAAAGAAGATAAAAGCTGCTTTAAAGAATCACTTTACAAAACATTTTCATGACAATTATTAAAAATAGAAATAAAGCATAGTGTTCTGAAATATCTTGAGAAAGAGAAATTAAAGTGAACATGTTACCAAAAGCTTTGTGAATTTTCATCCTTATCCATTTTAGAAGAAAGTCAGATTTCCATACATATTAAAAATAGCTACTAGAAGTTTACTAACAAAGATTCATTTTAATTGTTAGTTCCCACTGTTTCTAGTTCATGTTGAAGAAGGATGTAAAGGCATGTGAAATGCTGCATGAAGGCAAATATAGATGGACATTTCCATATATGTGTCTTCTCAGTCACAAAAATAATACTGGGCAAAGCACTGTTGTTACTCCAAGGTCCACAGATGAAGACTATGCCCTGAACTTAGCCTTCACACCAACTGTGATCTGTCACTCATGGATTTTCCTAAGTCTCAGTTGCTTTTATTTATCCTTTCACATAAGGTGTTAGGCACAGAAGGTGCCATTGTATAAAACTGTATTCTATATATTGCTCATTTTCTTTGACTTATAGGTCTCTATTTCATGCCATGTCACAATTCTGCATACAACAACAACAAAAAAAAGAAAAACAAACAAAAAATCATTCATCTTTCCTAGAATCCATATAAATGTATCGTTTTTTTCTTTACATATTATAAAGACACCATTTTTCCCAGTTCAATATTTAACTATAAACTTCTCCAATCCATTATTACTATATTTCCTCTTCACTGATACTTTATGAACTGTTTTATAACTCTACAATTATTCTTCTTAAACATTAGAGATGTTTGTGAATTGTACTGTTATTTGGAGGAGTTTCCTCCATATGTTTTAATAAAGTGAAGAAATCTAAAACACTGTCTACATAATTTATATAAATAAATGTTGACCCTGAATTGATAATGAACAAAGCAATGTTTTATCATTTTAAACAGTTAAGCAGCTACTAGTGAGAAACACAAGTACTTGCTTTATCTTTTGTTTTCTACTCTAATTCCCCATCTCATTCTGTATCTTTTCTTTTCCTTGCCAGGGAGTGAATCTCTACAAAGTGATGGAAGCTGGTGACTTTATATGCAAGGCAGTGAATAAAACAACAAACTCTAAAGTTGCACAAGCTGCCTTCAAAGCTCGACTTGAATGAATTTGGGATTTAAGAGTTAAAAGTTCCTTTTCAGTCCCAATTCATTGCAGAATCATTAATGCCAACTCATTCTGAAGTGCAAGGTAATTTTAAAAGGGCTGGGAAAGAAGAGATATGTTATGAAAAGGTTATCACTGTGTAGATCGTGAAGTAGATGGAAGGTAATAACCACAGCCATCGTTGAATTGCAAGCTGGGAATTAACACTGCAGATGTCCTTCTGTATGTGGACAAAGCCTTTATTTGCTGTTACAGAATTCATTTAATTTTTACCTTAGTAGATGTGAAAATTGACTTCAGATTTCTGTAAGTATTGAGTACTGTGTTAATACTTCATCAAGCTAGCTTACCACAGGGTACATATTGTTAGTAGTTTACGAGCTTTGACACAATGCAGAGTGTGTGGCCCTGACACTGTGTTTTCTGCCTCTGGATTCCGACTTTCCATTTGCCATGTTTGTTAAGTTATGGACCAAGAGCCAAATTTTCATCTGACCCTACATAATTTTTAGCAATAGAACTTTTATATTTCAAGTATGGCTAACATCTGTTAACTATTTCAATGACTTTACTATGATCCAAGATGCTGTGGTCAATGGCAAGATGCCATATCCTGAAAACACATCATACCTCCCATGTTTGTTCCATGCATTCAGTTTGCTGTGTTTTACAATTATGTCAATTGTAAGAAAAAATCCACAGTGTTATTTAAATATAGAGAAATTATAAGGTATAGATTTTTGCCATGGTGTCTAAGGAACAGTAATGACTGTAGGCTTATATACACATCATAGTCTATTTGCATAATATCTAGTTTATTTCTGAATTGCACAAGAAAATGGTGTTGTGATTTAAAGAATATTAATATAATTTTTAACTGATAAAATTTCTGTTCCCATTAACTTACTGTACATTAGCTGTTTATTTTTGTTTGACTTTAGGGTGTATATTTTAAAGTTAAAGTGGTAGAAATGCTATCTAAAAAGCATATCCAGGGATAACAAAAGTTAATAATAAAGGCCTGGAGATGGCCCAGTAGCTGAAAGCACTGGATGTCCTTCCAAAGGACCTGGGTCTAAATCCTATTTCTAACTCCAGTTTCAGGGGATCTGATAACTTCTTCTGGCTTCTCCATGTACTAGTCATACAGGTTGTACATGTGCATGCATGCAGGTAAAAAATCTTTAACATAAAATATCATAGTCATCCTAGAAAACAATAAAGACATTTAAATGAAAATATTCCAGAAAATAAGAGGGACATTGATTAGAACCAAAATATCATTAAAGGTACATAATAGGACAAAGTTAGAATGGAAACACATGAGTTGACAAAGAAACCTAAATTTCCACGGATGACTCCCACTTGTCAGCTAGTAACATGGCTCTTCAGTAGGTTCTGTGACAGCATGTTTTTCTTCCAGAGCACAGAAAGCAATTCTATGCTTGGAGGTTCAGGTTGGAATATGGATGAAACAGAAGCAGCAAAGTTGCAGCCAGTTGTGGATCCACCTCAGTACCATCTTTCCGCAGGTCTCTCTTGCACACTAGGCATGGTAGTTTGTCTGTAATTGCCCCCATGAGCTCATTGGAAGTGGTCCTCTTAGGAGGTGTGGCTTTTTTTTGGAGTAGGTATAGCCTTGTTGAAGGAAGTATATCGCTGTGGAGTCAGGCTTTGTGGTTTCATATATGCTCAAGCCATGCTCAGTGTCTCAGACCACTTCCTGTGTCCTCTGGGTTAAGATGGAGGACTCTTAGCTCCTTCTCCTTCTGCCTTCATGCCATCATCTCACACAATGTTGATAATGGACTAAATTTATGAAACTGTAAACCACCCAATTATATGTTTTCTTTTATAAGAGTTGCCATAGTCATAGTGTCTCTTCACAGCAATAGAATCCCTAAGACAGTAGGGTACTGACAGGCAGCTGCATCAAATATACTTATCCATCTATTTTCTGGGGAAATTGTTTTTTTTTTTTTCTCTCAGAGGGTGTGCTCAGTTTTGAGACATTTGTGGAAACATCTGCTCATGCAAACTACTTGTGGAATCAATGACTAGCATTGTTTCTTTGAAATGAATCTCTAAGTTCTTCCAAAGACATAGTAAATATAAACCTCAGTTACATGGTTACAGGGTGCCTACCTCAGTGTACCAGCTCATTTCTCTAACTACCTTGATATTATCCAATTACACTTGACACATAATAGTCTATGTTTTACCCTCTTGTCCTCTCCCTATTCTGTCTGACGTTCCTAGGAAGAATTCTCCCAGAATAGTTTAGCTAACCACGAAACTTTGCAATCATTGCAGGACCAATTGAAAAAACAAACAAAACACTCATCCACACTTATTTTGATACCAAATTTTCCTTTGATTCTACTTAGAAAGGCTTAAGAATGACAAATCAAATATAACTTTTATTGGAATATGAATGAAAATAATCTTTCTTCACATCTATTCTTAAGTTAGGAAAATATATATTCTTTCTCCTGGAACTTGAAATATGTTTTATCGTATAGATGTGTTCTCTTCTTTGATACACAACTATTTCTGAAGGACTCTGTATCTTCTGGGCTGGTACTGTTGATAAGCAGTAGATCACTTTACCTAGGATGTATAAGGACCTGAGTTTGTTCTCCCCACTCAACAAACCAACAAGAAGAAAGGATTATGTATTCTGAAAATAAAAATTTTGTCAGCTTATATTCATGAACTCCCAGCAAACAAATTTAATCTGTAGGTAATTTTCTAGTAAACTGAGTGTTCTCTTTACATTTTTAGCATTCTATTTACTATAAAATTTAATAAAGACTTTCTTAGTTGTATGTATTTGGCTCTTAATTTTGATAATTTTGCATACTCTATCATCTAAATGAGTAATTAGCAATATGAGTCAAAGGATTGAACATTGAGAAAATAATTCATAAATATTGTCCCTTTCATATTTGTAAAGAAGTAAAACTGAAGACTCAGAATCATAAACAAATATGAATTAAAATATTACTCAAGGAAAATTCCAGTGAATATCCATGATTATTTTGCTCTCATGGACTAGAAGATATGATTTTGTGCCTTATGATGTAGGTCCAAAAATGAAGAGAGAGAGGGTTGGCAAGGAGAGGGTCACAGAAAACAAGAGAGGGGACAGAATGAGAGAAGGGAAAGAAGGAGGAGATAAAGATAAAACAATCTGATTTTTGGCAATGAATACCTTATAGGCAGAAATATTACACTGTTATTATAACAGGGTTATACTATAAGTGGTATAAACTTAGAAATATATTTAATATTATAAACAATATAAAAATAATGTAAATAGGCCACTTCGATGAGGATATTTTAAACTGCAGGCAAAGTTGGGATGCAATGTGTGAGAGAAGAATAAAAGATAAAAAACTGTAGGCAAACAGAAAAACCTGAAACAATCATCTTTAAAACTCACCTGAAAAATATTCAGTATTTTGTTTTCCACCACTGTTTACCTCATTGGCTCATTCTTTCTCCCCGTGGTGTGGTTCACCTGTTCCTGAGGTGCTCCTGAGAATGCAAGCTCATTAGCAGCTTTTTCAGATTTTCTCTGCACACAGCTTTCAGTATGTACAGGCCCTTTTCCCTTTGCTGTGATTTGTTATCGTCAAAATACAGTATACACTTGCACCCTTCCAAACTTCCTCTCATGCTTCATTGAGCAGAGTGTCATGACAGGCCCTTTCCAAAGACCTTCGTTCTCACAGGACTAGACCAGGAGGACAGACTGAATACATATCAGTAGCAGGCAGAAATGCGTCTCTGATGGAAACATGCTGTTGTGAGGAAGAGAGTTGAGTCAGTGAGCTCAAAGAAGAAGCCTGTATGCGACTACATACATAGGAGGGAAAGGGAAAAACTTCTCATTTCAATGGTGTGGACTTTAATATGGAAGAGTTATTACTTAGGAAGGAGGTCTTGATCACGTTAATTTTTTTCTATATTATAAAAAAATTAAAAGGTAGGGAATTGTCATCCGGGAACAGTAGGGACATTTTCAGACATGGCAGATAGCAGCAGACAGAAGCAGTCGCAGAAAGAGGGTTTCATTAGGGGCAAGGAAACACACACAGACCAAGCACACAGAGAAATTGACATGATTCTACAAAGCCAAAGGCAGTTCTTTCTTTGCAGATGGGAGTTTTATGGGTCTTTGTGGGGGTCATTCTGTCCTAAATTAGGGTTGGTCAGTTTGAACAAAGATGGAAGTTGATATTATTGGTCTACAAGTTTGGCTTAAAAGCATCCTGACCTTGAATTTGTTGGACCAGTTCATAGGCAGGGGGTCCTACAGGCAGCTTGTTTATTTGCCTAGTTGTTTTTTCCCAATCAGAACCTATATTCATAGAAGCATAGTATTAGATCCATAACTACCATTTTTCAAAAGAAAAAAAATCTTCAAATGGATTAAAGACCCCAAGGTAAAACTTGAAAATGCTGAAACAGCTAGTAGAAATATAGGCAGTGCCCTACAAAACACACGTATAGGCAAAAGCTTTCTAACTAAGACCCCATTTGACCAGGAATTTAGATCAGACATGTGGGACCTCATGAAGCCATAAAGCTTTTGTACCACTAAGGATAGAGTCAACTAAGTGAAGAGAAAACCCACAAAATAGGAGAGAATCTTTGCCAGCTATGCATTTAACAGAAGAGTGTTAAGATGGTGAATGCATGTTGAACAAAAAAAAAAAAAAAAAAAAAAAAAAAAGTCAAGAAAAGACAAAAATAAAAACATCCCATAAAAAAACAAAAACAAACAAACAAACAAAAACCCCCAAAAAACAGGCTATGGTCCTGAAGAGAAGAAATAAAAATGGCTAAAAAACACCGCAGAACCTGGTTCATCATCTTTAGCAATTGAGGAAAAGCAAATCAAAACAAGTTTGCTATTTCCTCTCACCACAGTTAGAATGGTTAAAATCAACAAAACAAATGATAGAGAATGCTGGCAAGGATGTGGGGAAAAGGAAATTCATTCTTATTCATTTTTAGTAGGATTTCCAGCCACTCTGGTAATCAGTATGTAGAACTCTCAAGAAGCTAAAAATAAATCTATTATATGATCTATATACCATT